TTTTTTTTTTCTGTTCTTTGCTTCAGAAACTGATTCTGGTTAATTCAAGACAAAATAAATTATTAAAGCATATCCAGTTGAAGCCAGGAATAAAGGCCAAAGTCACTGCAATAGTTGGCGCATTGCAGATTTACTGAGGTTGCAGCTGTGCGTGAGCTCCCTCAGCCTGCTCTGCTCTGCTCATGTGTGGCACTGCCACGAGAGCTCCTGCTGCTGTCTCTGCACTCCGGACGTAGCTGTCATGCATGCACCCTCTGTCACTGGTGTGGACTGCACTGCCTCGGCTTCTTGGAGTCACTAACTTCTGACTACAGTTAGAAAGGATGCTTATGACTTAAGCATATTCACAAACAGTAGCTCATTTAATTTCATAATTTTTATGTTAGGAGGCTAAGCAGGGCAATTTTTCTTCTATCCATTTTACAAGAGAGAATACTGAAGTTCAGATTGTGTGAGTGTTTTGCTGCAAGACCACACAGCTGGAAAATGGTAAAGCAAATAAAAACTTTTTCTTAACTATGAAACACTTGTTTTAAAGCTGTGAAAGGAACATATCTTTGCTTTGACATATGTAAATTGAAAAATTTTGCATAGAAAGAATAGATTGATGATCAACTCCCTCCCACAACTGTGTTTTTTACTCACAATAAATAGTAAATTGCTTTATTCATTTAACAAATAGTAAGTGCCAACTAATGCACCAGACACAAATCAGATGTGTAAACTTTCACAGCTGAAAAGTACCTTAGAAGTTATTTCAAATCCCCGATTTTACAGGTAAGGAAAAAACTTCAGGTGGTCAACTTATTTAATGTTACCCTATTCATTACTATTAGAGCCTGGAATAGAAGGCCCCTACCTCATTCCAAGTTTCCTCTGTTTTCAGAATAAAGATTCTTGAGAAAAATTTATTACATGGAAAACTACTTCTTTATTTCCTCCTGGAGATCAAGGAGGATTTCATATTGCTTAAGAATGTTTTCAGATTGAAGTTGTACAAAAGCATGCATGTATATATGTGTGATATAGATACGATATGGATAGAGTTATCAATATTAAATTGGTTTAAGGAAGACTCAAAGATGGTTTGCCTAACGCACTGCAAGCAGTTGTGTCTCAAGCTCTTCTGAAAAGTGCAGAAGAAATTTAGGTTAACACTTTTTCCTTATCCTACTAGGAATAGTTATAAGTGGCCAGCAGATGCCACTGTTGTCAGTTGTAAAGTTTTTCAAGTTTCAAATGTAGAAAATTTGTCATTACAGAAAAAATGAAGTAAATTGTAGCAAAAGTAATTTTAAAAACTGTGATGAAAGTACTGTGTAATAAGATTTTATTTACCTTTTAGCAAAATATTTAACACCTGACAACTAAAAGACATATATTTAATTATTTTTAAAAAATTAATAGGGAAATAGTGAGTCTTTTGGCGGGGGGGGCGGGGGGGTACTGGCTGGTGCAAAGAAAATGGTGAATCTTCTGTGTTTAAAAATAATAATTTTTAAAAATTAGAAGTTCATGCAATGACTAATGTGGACTGATAGCTATATTTATGAGACTGACGCGCTACCTACTGTGCTAACGAGGCACCTTGATAGCTGTATTTAATAACCAAGATATATTCTAGACTGCTGAGTGACATCAAGGAAGGGTAAAATAAAATAAGTCAATTCTGTTCCTTTTTGTTGTTATATGGCAACATAAAACGATTTTGTAGTTATCAAACCTGCACTCATTTGTGCATGAGTTGTTATTGAAAGATTTATTATTAATTATGTTGCTATTTTCTATTTCCATCAGAAAAAGAAACCTAATGGCTAAAAACTGTATGAAAGGGCCCCCATCCACTCTAGTAATCAGAAAATATAAATTCAAACAATGAAATACCCCATCAGATCAGGAAAAAAAAAAAAAAACAATAGCATCATTGAGGATGTAGATAAACTAAAATTTTTACACCCTGGCAGTGATAATTTAAATTGGTTTAACCAGTTTGAAGAGTACTTTGGCAGGTTCTAGGGAGGATGAAGATGGTGGCAATTTCTAGGGAAGATGAAGATGGATATATCACAAGAATCTGCTCCCTGTCTTGGGTAAAGATTGTAATTCCCCACCCATTTCCGTGTGTTCTGGACATCCTGCCCTGTGGGAGGAATGTATTTCCCTGCTCTATTGCCTAGGACTTGGTCATGTGATTTTGTTTGGCCAATTGAATCTAAATAGATACGAGCACTCCTTGTATGAACACATGCTTTTAGAGGCATTGCAAGTTTTTGTTAGTCTCCCTGCCCATATTTCCTCTGCCATGAGAAATGTGTACAGCAGACAAGTGCTGTTTCCATCCTAACTGCATCCTTACAATTTCTGACATGATTTTAGAATTATAGACCTTTGTGCTGAAGGAGTCTTTTTTCCATGTAATGAAAATGAAAACAAAGAGCTAATGCATCACACAAATATTTTTATTATTTAAAAGTTTATAAATTATAAGATTTTAATTATGAATAAAAACTATCTGAAAAATGTTACGCATTTTGTATTATTGTTTGGAACTGGCTTAAGGCACATCGTGCAAAATACTTCTTTTCCGATACAGAGATCCCCAAATGTTTATTTAACCACATTGGCACAAAACTACTTTAGTACCTTATATGGTACAATATATTCCTGATAAATGGGGGAAAAAAAACACTTTGTGGGCGTCAGCCCCGTGGCTCACTCGGGAGAGTGTGGCCCTGGTAGCACCGAGGCCGCGGGTTCGGATCCTATATAGGGATGGCCGGTGCGCTCACTGGCTGAGCGTGGTGCAGACAACACCGTGCCGAGGGTTGCAATCCCCTTACCAGTCACTACTGTTTACCAGCAAAAATCTATTAGAAGATTCTGGTAGCTCTTTGGGGGGTTTACAGAATAGGTTGCAATTAACAAATAAACAAAAACTACCTGTGTTTTAATACCACATTATTATATAATATACAATTAAATTGTTCACATAGAAAAAGCTCTTAATACCTGAGAATTTTTGTACTGGCTTTGAGAAATCTCTGACAAAAAATAACTTGAATATCTCTAGTAAAAGTTTTGCATATGTAAGCATAATTTTATGTTTACAAAATAGAATCATCAAAATTTTAAGAATTCTCACTTCTCTATTTGATTAATAAAATACAGTACACAACTTTGAGAAAATAGATTTTTAAAGAGTATATACACAAACAAGACTTATAAAGGCATAATACATTATAAACATTATAAAAACAATGTATTGCTCTTATAAATACAATCAAATTGGAGGTAGGTTTTAAAAATCGAATTCCAATATATCATATCTTCTGTATTAGACCCACAAAATTTCATATTTAGTATTTAACCAAAGCGTGGATTTTTAATACATAATTTGTACTACATTTTTAGTACTGTTTTTTCATTGAGGCACCATAATCCAAAATTAAAAATTAAAGGAAAAATAAAACAAGGTATCTAAATGGTATCAGTAGAAAGTAAAATAGCTATGTACTTTTTAAAAAGGTAAGTATTGATTTTCCATTCACCTGTCATTTGACAGATTCAATAATGTTTATAGTAGTTTTGAATAAGTTTATTTGCCTAATTTTTACTTGCTCCATTTTAACAAGTAGAATAAACATTTTATTGTATAATAGGACACCGAAGAGAGATTTGCATGTGTGTTATAGGAATACAATTGTGGTGCAGTCCAAGCTTTTAACAGCAACGTTGTCTTGGTATAATGCATTCAAACATTCTTGTATACTCTACCATAAATTATTGGTATTTATAAAAGATCCTGATTAGAGTCATGTATCTGATAAGTTTATTTTGAAGGCCTTGAAAAAATTAAAGTCATTTGAGTCCCTGATTAGCACCCTGAAAAAAATGCAGAGATATTTTGGACAGGGGAATTTTAGGAAGGGAGAAATAAAGAAATGAGCACCGGTTATTTTCATATTCCAGACAGTATCTCCACTTTGAGGCATACTTTCTACTTCTAAATGTTCATGTTACTTGAACTGGGAGACCAGTAGTCATGTGAGGAATACACTTTCCACAGAAACCTCCACACCTGCCGTAGACTTTGGTTCCATCCTGAAAATATGAAGAGGCAGAAATATAGGAGAATTTTATACAAGCTGGTTTCTGCAAGCACAAAGCAAAAAGGCAAATGTTTTGGATCATTTGATTGGAATCATTAGCTGAGTTCTCCTATAACAATTGCATCTGAGATCAAAGATCATACCATTTCAATATTAGTCCAAATTGGTGGTCATGGGAAAGTTAAAAGCAAATTAGATCACTTAATCATATTAGTGATTGATTACTATCAAACACTCTATAATTTAGACAATTCATCTCAATCCACATATTTTCTATAGAGGCATCTATTGGCTTCAGTAGGTTTATTAAAACCTCTCTCAATCTGCTGTCCAATATTTATTTAATTTTATGTAAGATCGTCTTAGACTGAATAAAAGACATTATACGAACTAGATCTTAAAGGTGTACAACTCATATTTTACCCCATTTATCTCAAACATCTCATGGAAGCATGAGATACACACCCTACAGAAAAGTATAGAAGATGATAAAATGGAGGAAAAATAAAAAACTGGGCTGAAAGCAGTAATTATGATTAGAGAAGGACTAAAAAGGGAGATTCTTTCCTAAGTAGAGCAGTTCACTGAGGAACAGATGGGCATAGGTGGAGGGAAGGGGTCGCCAGGACATAACAGATGTGCTCCCTCAACTGCCTTCTATCTTCAGGTCCAAAAGTCAAACGACTGAAGACATTTTGGTAAGATGAGACAAAAATAGGCCGAACTCCTATCATTTCTGGGGAATATAAGTTTTTTTTTTCTTTTTCTTTTTTAATCTAGGGAGGAAAGGAGGAAAGGAAACTTTGGATGCTTGGGACATTTTGAGATGGAAGCATGTTTTGAGACCAGGGGCTTTTGAAGTTGCCTTTTCTTTCAGACGCCCTTTTAACTCCAAAGAATCTGAGTACACAGAGAAGGGAAGGGTGGCAAAAACTTAGTTTTGTAAACTTCCCTAATTCCCAAACAGATTGTTGAAGTAAAAACTTGATCTTGATTAAATTTACTGGCAAATGAAAATATGTTTGTGTTTACATAAGTATATATGGGTTTCCCGAGTCTCAGTTTTATACCAGACATCAGATTTCAAGGAATACGGTCATGTGCAACATTTTTGCTTGAAGTAGAAGTTTTCAGTGAATTAAATAAATAATTAATCCTTGAAGTAGAAGTTACGTAGCAGCAAAACGAACGACTTTACTGAATATTCATATCTACTGGTGACCTTGGCCAGAATTCAGTCTTTATATTTAACCAAAAGATATCTAAAAGCTGGATATAACAGGTCAGAATAAATCATTGAGCTCTCTACATTTATACCTGCTCAGAATATACTTTAAGTAATTAACTTATTTCCATTCTTCTGCATAAAGGGAATAGACCTAAATATGCTAAATAAATATTTAAAAGTAAGTAACCATTCTTTCTGAAACCCTATTAGTTTGCCCATATGAGAGAAATAATAAAATTAAAATTATATAACTATTAATTAAAGAACAATTTCATAGTCTTCAGAAATAGAAAGTTTTAAAGGCTATGAATATCAGAATATTGAATTTTATTTACAAATAATGTTCATATAAATAGGAGTATAACAATTCACTTTTATCAAGAGAAAGAAAAGTCCCAAAACATTAGAGTGGGCAGGGGCTGTTGCTTGCGCTGAGTCATGCGCAATGCAGGTGAGAACACTTATAACCTGGATCCAGATTTACCATGGATAGAGCCATGCTATCAAAGAAACCATCGCTGTAAGCAACAGAAGACATTTCATACAGTGTACATGTTACTACACCATACCAGCAACAAAATTAAATGCATTCTGCTTTGGACAATACATGTACTATAGTTAAAATAACTATATTAGCAACTATAAAGATAGTTATGACTATAGAAAGGTACCTCAAAAAGTTCATGGAAAAAAATAGAATTAAAAGGTAACACAAATCTTTCCATGAGCTTTTTGAAGTATCGTCATATATAGACATACTACATAATAATCTATATTTATATAGATAAAATAACAATGTTATCTAGATAAGGATAGACAGTTAAATGAGTACGATATAGATAAATAATCCTAATTCCTGCAAAAACTTTGAAGGATAGTTGTAAAATGACAAATGGCTCCAACACCACCCACATCACTAAATCAAAGCAGTGAGATAAGTAAACCAAAAATGTAACCTTCACTTTGAAATATTAAGATCTACCAACCTTTAATAATTAAGGTGTGGTTTGAAACACTCTCTTTCTGAACTACCTGCATTTCAAGTTATTAGCCCCAAACTTGAGATAGACAAAATCTATATATCCTGGCGTTCGGTATTTCCTGTTCAGCTATCTGCCACTTGTATACAGACTTGCATGTATGTAAAACCAACATATGCACATTCATAAAAATGAACCCAATTCCATTTCATAAATTGATGTTGTACCCATTATATGCAAAAACTCCTTCATCACTAACTTCACATAACTTTACATTTAAGGTAGAGAGCCTTCAGTGCTAGTTCACAGCGCAGCAGTATTTCAAACAGGCTCTTTGGTCGAGCAGGACTTACGTGTGATCTGTGTATGATGACAGAGGCATAACTCCCCTGAGCAAGCCACTTGGCTGTGCTGGATATCTTCATTCCGGTTCCTGCCAAGTTAATGCTGAACTGTCCCTAGATTGTAAACAAAACAAAGCAAAAATAAATGGAGTCATAAAATATTTAAGAATGCTCTTGGCTGGAGAAATCATTGGAATTATATAAGGAAGGGCTCAAATTACTTTTCAAGGGTCTTCCTTTAAAAAACGAAAGGCTATTGATACGCCCTTACTGTAAAGAAAATGAACCGGTTAAGGATTTTAAAAATTGATCACAAATAAGTCTTCTCAATTAAACGACAACTGAATTAATATCACATAATTTTATTTGTACAGAAGTAATTCTGTCCAACCCTAGGACTCCATGACTTAAAAACTAGAGCTAATGGTCCTGTAGCAATAAGTGTTATGAATTAAGTGCAGCACTATAAACATTAAAAGAGTAGCATAATAAAAGTAAATACATAGACACACATATAAAATCCTTCAGCCTCCATGAAAATAAATGGGACAAACATGAGACATAGTAGTATTTTATGCTGGTAGATATTTGAATGAGAAGAACTAATTCTTAGGATATATTATATGATTTGATACTTAGTCAATCTGATACAGGTTTTACACTGGATACCTCCATCCCACATTCCGTCACAGATAGGCTTCTCACCAAATAAAATTCCTTAAAAATGGAAATGTATTTTGTGATGTAAGTTTCCTGTGACCATACACATACTGAATGCCCAGATTGGGACGTGCAGAGTTTTTGCAACCTAATATGGTCACTCCACTCTTCCATTTGCTCTCTACCTCTCTGGTCAACATGTCTTGGGAGCATTCAAATGCATACAAATTGAAAATGAAAGGAAAAGATCCAACTGACTACTGAGAGGCTTAGGTGGTCACAATCAGCTGGGTCTAGAAGTGCAAACACCCTTGGACTTCATACAAAAATTGATTGAAAATAAATCATGTCTCAATATAAAACATAAAACTATAAAAGTCTTTGAAGAAAACTTCAAAAAGGAAAAAATCTTTGTAACTTAGGGTTAGTCAAAGATTTCTTAGATATGACACTAAATGCACAATCTACAAAAGAAAAAATAATAAGTTTGACTTCATTAAAATTGAAAACTTTTGCTTTGTGAAATATACCTAAGAGAAATAAAAGACAAGTTTCAGACCATAAGATAATATTTTCAAATGCCATATCCAACAAAAGATTTGTATCTAGAATACATAAAGAACTCTCAAAACTCGAAAGTAATGAAACAACTCAGCTTTAAAAATGGGCAAAAGACCTGAACATACACTTCACCAAAGAGGATATACAGATTGCAAATAAACACATGAAAAATGCTTAACATCATTAGCATTTGGAGAAATGCAAATAAAACCCAAAACCAGATACCACTAAAGATGAGTAAACAAGCAAACATAAACTTGACAATATCAAGTGCTGACAAGGAAGCAAAGCAACTAGGACTTTAATCTTTGCTGGTGGAAATACAAAATTGTACAGCCTCTAAAATGGTATACCCTCCAAAACAGTTTGACAGTCTCTTATAAAGTTAAATATACACATTCCAAATGACCCTGCAATCTTACTCTTAGGGATATCCTGGAAGAAATGAAAACTTATGTTCATGCAAAAAGCTGTACACAAATGTGTATGTTCATAATCTCAAAAAACTGGAAACAACCCACTGTCCTCCAAAAGGTGAGTGGACAAACTGTAGAAAAACTGTAGGACATCCACACCAAAATGGAATACTTCTCAGCCATGAGAAAGAACAAACTATTGATACATGCAACAACATGGATAGATCTCAGAAGCATTGTGTTGAGTGAAAGAAGCAACTCTCATGGATTTATATACTATACAATTACATTCGTATGACATTTATATGACATTCCCCAAAAAGGCAAAACTATAGTAACAGAGAACAGGTCAGTGTTTGCCAGGAGTTAGGTGGGCAGAGGGGACTGACAGAGGAAGTTTTGGGGGATAAGAGAACTGTTCTGTATTCTGACTATGGTGATCGTAACATGAGTTGTACATATGGTAAAATTCATAGAACTGTATGCCAAAACAGATAATTTTATTGTATCTTATTTTAAAAAATAAAAATCTATTTAAAGAAAAAAATATCCATTGGCTTGTAAAACAGAATCCAACTACATGCTACATGTATGAGATATACCTAAAACAAAGTGATTCATAAAGGCTAAAAATAAAAGGATAATCAAAAAATATTCCAGGCAAATGGATATAAAAAGAGAGCAGGGTTAGCAATCCTAGAAAGAGACAAAGGAGAATTCAAGTTGCAAATCAAAGAAGTGCACAAAATCATAATTCACAATCAAGACTCACATAAATGTTATACATCAAATAACACAGCAACAACTTTTATGAAGCAAAAACTATAAGACATTCAAGAAGACACCTAAGAGATAGAATAGACACACCCTAATAATAGGAAAATTTAATATACCACTTTCTGTAACATAAGAGATCAAGTGGGTAAAAAAAGAAAGAAGTAATCTAAACAATATAATCAAAAGATAGATCTTATGGCCATATATTAAAACTCTATTTCTTGATAATAAAGAATACACATTCCAAATATTTAACAACTAACTCTGAACACTTAAAATGGATCCAGTGGCACAGGCTGAATGTGATTATTTCTCTTACTCTTGTGTAATCAAATATTAATTACAAACCAATTAAAAAGAAGCACATTGTTTTTTTTTGTTTTTTGTTTTTTTAATTTTTGTGGCTTTGCAAAAAATATGGAACATTCATCACACTCCTAACTTCATCTCATATTGCAATGTGCAAAGTTTATTTTTCCTAAAGAATGCCATATGTGTCTGTTCTCTTTTTAGCATGCATGTCCTGGGGTACCCTGTCATATGCAAACACAGAGGATGTGGTTTTGATGAATCCTAAAAAACAGAATAAGTTCTTTCTGTGACATCAAACATCTGGAGAGTATTCATGCAAATGGTATGTAACTTAACACAGAATCTGGTTTATATATTTGACAGAACATCTCCAAAAACACTGGGCAGTTTGTATTTTTGGTAATAGTAGCCTCAGGCAGATAGATACACCCTGAATATAGATGGGCATAGCTCTTTCTGACAGCATGTCTCTTTGACCAATAACATTTTGGAAATAGAGCTTGGCATTCCAGAAATGTCTGTAAAACCATGTGAAGGAGGCATCTCACCCTTATGGGCAGAGGAGCATTTTATTCCTGATTCTGCATAGGACTTTCTTAAGGATCTTGGACAGACTGTTAACATGGAGTGTCTGTTTCTCCAACTATAAACTGGGATTATCCAGTTTACAGCTACATAACTTTCTCAAGATCTTGCATGGAAAAAATAGGGTTACAGAGAAATTGGAGAAACGGAGTTAGAAAGAAATGGAAATAGCTATCTTATTTAAAAACCTTGTTGTGCAAATATCTCTTAATTCAGATTCCATGGTCATCAAGAAATGGTTTTTGTTTTTGTTTTTAATAATAATTAGCTTTCTCCTATGAGGAGAGTTCATTAATGACATAAAAAGAACTTTGATTCCACTTGACAATTATATGATTTACTTGCATATTAGTCTCCTGTGGATTTTGTTGATGTCTTATTATCCAGATCCTATTCAATTCAACATGCAATGACAAGGACCAAATTTCCAGAACTTGGTGACCATCTGAAAGTAATGATATCTAGGATAACTTGTATTAGCCAGACTGTTCACATCTCTGGGTTGCCTTGTCAATGTGTTTCTCTCTAATCAAATCAGATATATGACAGATGACATCATTGTGTATATAGAAAATCCTAAGAAATTTACTAGAAGACTATTACAACTAATAAGTGAGTTCATCAAGGTTGCAGGATACAGGATCAATCTACAAATATATAGGCAAAAATTGATGATTTATTTGGGCCCCAGATTTGGGATTCTCTTTACTGAGTACCTCTTCCTGTCAAAAGCCTTCTTTGTGTTAATTTGAAATCTGATGTCCTATTAATGCCTCCTAGAATAACATATGCAGCCTCCCTCCTCTTTCACGGTATCTCTTTAAATATTTAAAGATAGTTATCATAACCTCCCACTCTTTTCCTGGCTACTTTCTTCATTGTCCTTATGAGACATTATTTTAACCCTCCTTTTTTCCCTGGTGATCTCTTGCTACTCTGAGATGGATTAAAAATTATCTTTTGCTGACACAAATTTAAAAATAAGTATAATATTCCAGTGTCAAATACAAGTAAATCTTTCAATTTTGATATCGTGTTTTGGTACCTTATGATTATAGTAGGTTGTTTATAAATCACTTCATTCTCTAAATGAGTCACATTGAATTCATGGTGCTTGAATAAAACACCTAGGTCTTTTTCATACAACATTGTCAGGTTCTGTTTGAGTGTTTGGACCTAAGTTAAGATTTGTATATTTATTCCAGTTAATTTTTTTCTTCTTGTCAGTCTGTAGCTCTATTGCCTCTTTATCTTTTTTAAGTCATCCTAATATAGAACATGTTTTCTATTCCTAATATATGATGAAGATTATGAATGAGAAATTCCAGGAAAAGAGGGCTGTGGCAAACCAGTAACCCCTTCTCTTCAAAATAATATCAATATATTAATCACTACCTCTTGAATAGGAGCTTTGATTTATGGATTCAGTTAGCTATGAGTAAACCTAAAAATGCCATATTCATCTAGCTTACAATTCTGAATCTTAAAAAAATGGTATTTGCATGGACTGTATAAAATCCCTTGTTAAAAATGAGATAGTAAATTTTCTTTTAGGAAGCACATTCTATATTGGAAATCATGGAAATAACATAAAAGGGTGTGTGAAAACTCTAGAAATAAAGGATAAAAATAAGAATAATGTTTTTTATTCTTATGTACTCTATGTACATTTCACAGATAATAGAATACCGATTTGAGAATGTTCTAGACCCACACAGCTAATATAACTGATGTTAGCAGCAGGGTCTGAAAGTCACACATTCATGATCTGTTTCTTTACCTTTTAATGAATGTCCATTCATTTCCATGGGTCAAGTGAAAAGATTAAAAAATGATAAAGTGTCATGGAAGGAGAAATAGAATCTGAACAGTTTAAAATTCCTGTTATTATACCTTTCAAACAAACTCAAGATTGGCAAAAATGTTTTTCCTTCAAGGCTTATCTATACCCTCTGGAATAAAGTGCATATAGAAAGTTTTGCATTTCTATTTACTTATGTTTCTTGCAATATTCTGGTCAAGAAAACGAACAAAGAGAAATTATCGATTTTTTTAACAGTGATAGAAAAGTAGTCAAACAAATATAAAATACCTGTGGGCATCTGGCAGCACTATAACAATCTCCAGCTGTGGCAAATGGAACTCCTCTTCCAAATTTTGTTTGGGAAAAAAGAAGGTCAGTAGCTAGAAAGTAATAAATCACACTCTTTAGCATTGAGACAATAATGCAATCATAATTGCCAAACATACATTTTTCATATTATTTTCTTACATATATTTATATAATTTTTAAAATTTAAGCAAAAATGTTGTCACAATTATAGTACCTAGCATAGAACAGGCTATCAATGGATACATTTTCTTTAAATCAAAAATGTTCATCTCATAAACTGCTCTAAAAATGGCAGGTACATTTGTAATTAAAACAGAAGATTTAAAAACTGAATAAATGCCTTATTATATTTTATATCATATCAAATATCTAAAATAGATGAAGGGAAGTTAGGAGCAAAATCACTGAAAAAAGAGCATTTAAAGGTAAATTAGTACATGAGTGGCTATAAACAGCATGTATATATTAATTCACTCAGACAATTCAGAAACACTCAGCTAAAAAATGTGCTATATTTCTATTTTTTATATTATTGCATTATATTATTCTTTTTATTCTTTTCAATATTACTTTTACTAACATTATTAGCAAAATTTCCTGATTGGCAATAGTGCCAGATATTTTACATAATCAAAAGTAGAATCATTGGATCAAAAATAGGTTGGAAGGAACCATACAAGTCAGTTGCTCCAATCACTAATGCATTCTTGAATACCTTAAATAATATCCCAACTAAGTCATCTAGCCAGTAGCTGTCATCTCCACTGATGATGTTTCAAATCACTTCACTTTTCAAAAAGACTACAATATCACTGCATGCCCCATAATGACACCAGTCCTCTGCAGGCAATTCACAAGGGAAGCATTTCTGGAGATATCTATTATATCTCCAAGGACAGTTTTCAATACTAAGAGACCCTCCCTGGTGTGCCAGAGCCAGCTTTTACCAAATAATGACAGCCAATGGTGTGTATCTTTTCCTAACTCTGGATACACCAAGGTCATTTTGGTGGCCATGGTGGAAATATATCCACCATGGATACTGGCAAACACTACAAATCAGACTATTTTTTCTTGGATATCTGGTCACTAAACATTTATCTGCATGCCAATGCTTATTTATGGCACATATGGGTTAGGCTGGGACAGAGCAGAGACATAACTTTCAAAGCATCCTTTGCTACCCTCTCCTCCAAAAGCATGATGATCAGCCAACAGCCTCAGTTTCATTAATCATTACACAATGGTGACTCATAAGAATCTATCCAGTCCACCTGACTCTGATGAGCTCCAGAACATATGTCATACTCTTATTGGGCTCATTACTCGGGTGACTCACACAAATATCTTTAACTTAACATGTCCAATGCTAAATGCATTATCTTTTTCTCCAATTTCATGCCCCCTGCTATACTTCCCACCTCACTGAATTATACCACCATCCATCTGGTAATTCTGGAAATCTTTTAAAATATTCTATGCCACTAATCCCCACATCCCCTCCGCCAGAAAATCCTTTAAAGTCTACCTCTTTAACGTTTCTCAAATAGCTCTTCCTCCTGACCCATGTCCCTAATTGAGACCCTCTGCACTTTCTATCTGAATCTTTACATTAGCTTCTTCATTATTTTCATGGGTACAATCTGTTCTTCCTCCTACCAAGTCTGCTCCTTCCCTGGCTTATGCTTTCACTCCAATGGCTCCTATGACCTACGAGATAAAATTCAACTGGATAGTTTAGTATACACTGCTCTTCATAATCTCCTTTCTGTGGCCTTCTCTAACAAGTTTCCATCCCCCAACTTCCATTCAAATAATGTTTCGACAAAACCGGACTAGTTGTCACTATCTGATGCCACCAAGATGCTTCTCCCTCCTCCTGAAACTCCTTATCCCCAGTTTGGCTCACTCAAATTTTATTCCAGATTGTTCAAGATAGTTGTTCCAAAAACTTCTTGAAGAAAGTGAAGACTTTCAATTCTACAAATATTTACTTATAACCTATTTTTTATTGGGCAGAATTACATATACTGTGAATACAACAGTGGATGAAACAGAGGCTGGTGGAACCTGAGTGCCACCAAAGAAAGGCAAGTAATGAAGGAAATGTTAGCATATGGTCGGGGTGATACTTGCTATGGAAAAAATAAAGCAGCGAAGAAAGTGGGAAGAAAGGGAGTTTAGGAGTGGATAGTGGTCCTAGATGGCCTTATTGAGAAGGCGAATATCAGTAGAAACCCCAAACAAATGAAGGAGTAAACCATACAGGTATCTGTAGGAAGAATGTTCCAGGCAGAAGAAACAGTTAGTGCGAAGGCCTTAAGGCAAGGGCATGCCTGGTGTGTTCAAGGAACAGCAAAGAGGCCAGTGTGTCTGGAGTAGAATAGCAAGGGGGGGGGTATGGGAGGGAGCAGGAAGTGGAGGGATAATGGAGGTGGGGAGGTCACGTTGAGCTGTGTTCACCAGTGAAATTCTTGATTTTACTCTTATTTAGATGGGAAATATCTGGAGAGTTTGAGCAGAGTTCAGGGTTGTTAAACAGATCAAATGTGATAATTACATGAAATGACACAGCTTGTGTTTTATGGGATCACTCTGGCTTATCTATTAAGAAGAGAATCTAGGCCAGGGGGGAGTAGAGTAGTACAAAACTGAAGTAGGAATACCAGTCAGTAGGTGTAACAATCCAGACGAAAAGAATGGTATGGATTTGGACCAAAGTGGTAGCAAATGAGGTAGCTACCTTAGACAGCTTGGGTTGCCATGAAAAAATATCATAGACTGGTTGGCTTAATCTACAGAAATTTATTTCTCACAGCTCTGGAGGTTAGAAGTCTGAGATCAGAATGCCAGCATAGTTGGGTTCTAGTGAGGGCTTTTCTTCTTGAAATGGGCTACCTTCCTGCTATGTTCTCACATGGCGACAAAATATCATAGACTGGTTGGCTTAACCTACAGAAATTTATTTCTCACAGCTCTGGAGGTTAGAAGTCTGAGATCAGAATGCCAGCATAGTTGAGTTCTAGTGAGGGCTTTTCTTCTTGAAATGGGCTACCTTCCTGCTATGTTCTCACATGGCGAAGAGAGTTCAGGTGTCTCTTCCTCTTCTTGTAAGGAGGGCACTCATCCCATTATAAGGGCCTCACCTTCATGACTTCATCTAAACCTAATTATATCCCAAAGCTTCATCTTCAAATACCACCACATTGGGGGTGTGGGCTTCAGCATCTGAATGGGGGGGGGCACAATTTAGTCCACAGCAGTATGCATGTTGAAGATTCACCTGACAGAGTTTGATGATGGATTTCATGTGGGTGTGGAAGAAAGAGAAGAGTTAAAGATGTTGCTAGGTTTTAGCTAGAATAACTCAAAGATTATAGTTGCCATTTACTGCAACAGTAAAATTTGGGGGTAGAAGGAGCAGGTTTCGCAGAAATCTTAGAAGTTCAATTTTGGATATGTTGAGTTAGACATGCCTATTAGACATTCACATTGATATGCTGAGTGGACAGTTGGATTTTGAAGATTAAGATAGCAATACAATTTGGAAATATGCATTTGGGACTTTCATTTAATAGATGGTATCTAAAATCTACAATTTGAATGAGATTTGCAAGGGAATGACTGAGTTCTAAAGCTCGTCAGCATTTAGTGCTGTGACAGATGAAGAGTAACTAGCCAAGCTGAGAAACAGTGAGAAAGATGGAGACAGGGTGGCCAAAAAAGGCACAAAACCATGAGAGTGTGGTGGCCTGGAAGCCAAATGCTGCTGATGAATCATGTAAGATGAAAATCAAGAATTTACCATTGGATTTAGGGAAATGGTGGTCATTGATGACTTTGATAAGGACTGTTTCCTGGGAGTGGTATGAATAAGAGACTGATTAGAATGTGCTCAGGATAGCATGGGAGGAGAGAAATTAGAGAGTGGGAGTAGTAACAAATTTAAGGAATTTTAATATAAAGCAAACACAGAGAAATTGGACAGTGGCTGGAAAGGAAGATGGTCAAGAAAATACATTTTTAATTATGGTGGAAGAAATAAGAGCATGTTTCTTTGTGCAGAATGTAAATGATCCAGCAGAGAGGGAGCATTGATGACATAAAAGAGAAAGGAAAGTTTGCTGGAATAAGGGTCTTGAGTAGGTTACAAGGCAGTGAGCCTAGAGCACAAGTGGGGGGATTTGCCTTAGATGGGAGCATAAGTAGTTCATCCACAGGAGACAGAAGACAAGGCAACTTTACTGAAATTGTTTATCAACTCTAAGAATTTTTTTAATAGTCTTTCAGCTTTTCTATATATGGAATCATGTCATCTGCAAACAGGGACAATTTGACTTTGTCTTTTTCAATCTGAATATCTTTATTTCTTTCTCTTGCCTGATTGCTCTGGCTAATACTTCTAATACTATGTTAAGTAGGAATGGTGAGAATGGGCATCCTTGTCTTGTTCCCATTCATTCAAGATGATATCGGCAATAGGTTTGTTGTATATGGCTTTTATTGTGTTGAGATACTTTCCTTCTACACCTAATTTGCTGAGGGGCTTTATCATAAAGGGATGTTGAATTTTCTCAAATGCTTTTTCTGTGTCTATTGAGATAATCATATGGTTTTTATCCTTGATTTTGTTGATGTGGGTTATCACATTTATTGACTTGCATATGTTGAACCATTCTTGTATCACTGGGGTGAATCCCATTTGATTATGGAGTATAACTTTTTTGATGTGCTGCTGTATTCTATTTGCTAATATTTTATTGAGGATTTTTGTGNTATAACTTTTTTGATGTGCTGCTGTATTCTATTTGCTAATATTTTATTGAGGATTTTTGTGTCTATGTTCATCAGACATATAGGCCTGTAGTTCTCTTTTTGTTGTTGTTGTATCTTTGATTTTGGTATCAGGATGATGCTGGACTCATGCAATGAGTTTGGGAGAAGGGTCTCTGCTTCAATTTTTTGGAATAGTTTGAGGAGAATTGCTATTATTTCTTCTTTAAAGGTTTGGTAGAATTCAGCAGTAAAGCCATCCAGTCCCAGGCTTTTTTTGTTGTTGTTGGGAGAATGCTGATCATTGTTTCAACCTCATTGTTTGCTCTTGTTCTGTTCAGGTTTTCTATTTCTTCTTGGTCCAGTCTTGGTAGTTTCTATGTGTCCAGAAATTTATCTATTTCCTCCAAATTTTCAAATTTGTTAGTGTATAGTTGTTTATAACAGTGTCTAATGATTCTTTGTATTTTTGTGGTATCAGTTGTAATGTCTCCTTTCTCATTTCTAATATTTGTTATTTGGGTCCTCTCTCTTCTTTTTTTTTAGTTAGCCTAGCTAATGGTTTATCTATTTTGTTTATCTTCTTGAAAAACCAACTTTTTGTTTCATTGATCTTTTGTACCGTTTTTTGTGTTTCTATAGTTGCAGGATACAAAATCAATACTCAAAAATAAGTAGTGTTTTTATACTCAAACAATGAGCTAGCAGAAAAAGATATCTAGAAAGCTAGCCCATTTACAATAGTCACCAAAAAAATAAAATACCTAGGAATTAATTTATCCAAGTAGGTGAAAGATCTCTACAACAAGAACAACAAATCACTGCTGAAAGAAATTAAAGAGGACAGAAGAAGATGGAAAGACATTCCATGATCTTGGATTGGAAGAATTAACATTGTGAAAATGTCCATACTACCCAAAGTGACCTACAAATTCAATGCAAGCCTCCTCAATTTACCAGTAATATTCTTCACAGAAATAGAAAAAACAATCCTAACATTCATATGGAACAACAAAAGACCCCAAATAGTCAAAGCAATCCTGAGCAATAAAAAAAAATAAAGCAGGACGCATAACACTACATGATGTCAAATTATAGTGCAAAGCTATAGTAACCAAAACAGCATGGTACTGGCATAAAAACAGACACTTGGACCAATGGAACAGAATTGAGAACCCAGAAATCAATCCACATACTTACACTCAACTGATCTTCGACAAAGGCACTAAAACACACATTGGGGAAAAGACAGCCTCTTCGATAAATGGTGCTGGGAAAATGGGACATCCATATGTAGAAGAATCAAACTAGACCCATACCTTTCACCATATACCGAAATTAACTCAAAATGGATTAAAAACTTAAATATAAGACCTGAAACTATAAAACCACTAAAAGAAAACATAGGTGAAACACTTCATTAAGTAGAATTGGGCAAAGACTTTATGAATATGACCCCCAAAGCAGAGGCAACAAAAGAAAAAATTAAAAAATGGGATATTATCAAACTAAAAAGCTTCTGCCGAGCAAAATAAACAATTACCAGAGTGAAAAGACAATCTACAAAGTGGGAGAAAATATTTGCAAACTACTCATCCAGAATATCCCTACAAAGGATTAATATCCAGAATATACAAGGAACTTAAACAACATAACAGTACAAAAAACAAATAACCCTATTAAAAAATGGACAAAGGAGCTGAATAGGCATTACTTCAAAGGAAGATACGCAAATGGCCAACAGACGCATGAAAAAAATGCTCAATAGCACTCAACATCAGTGACATGCAAATCAAAACCGTACTGAAATATCATCTCACCCCAGTTGACTGGCTGTTATCAAAAAGATAGAGAATAACAAATGTGGACAAAGATGTGAATGAAGGAAGGGGAATCCTCCTACACTGCTGCTGGGACTATAAATTGGTGCAGCCATTATGGAAAATGGTATGGAGGTTTCTGAAACAATTATAGATAGAATTGTCGTATGAACCAGAAATTCCACTGCTAGGTACATCCCCAAAAGAATGGAAAACATCATGTCAAAGGGATACCTGCACCCCCATGTTTATTGTGGCTCTATTTACAGTAGCAAAGAGTTTGAACCAACCTAAATGTCCATTGTGAGATGACTGGATAAGGGAAATGTGGTATGTATACACAATGAAATACTATTCTGCCATAAAAAAGAATGAAATCCTGCCATTTGCAGCAACGTGGATGAACTTAGAGAAAATCATATGAAGTGAAATAAGCTAGGCACAGAAAGAGAAATACCACATGTCCTCACTCATAAGTGGGAGCTAAAAAACAACAAATTAATTAAAACAAAAAAGGAAAAGAAAAGAGAGCAAGCAAGAAATCTACAACATTCACAATAATACATTGAACTTTAAAAAGAAGAGAACAGAACTTAGGTTACCAAAGGTAGGAAAGGAGGACTGGGAGGGGAGTAAGGGAGGAATTGGTAAATGGCCACAAAAATGATTACATTGTATAACGTTGAATATACTAATTATCTTAATTTGAGTATCACACATTGCACACAGGTAATGATATTCAATGCTGTACCCCACAGATATGTACAATCAACTATGTTACAATAATAAATAAAAATAATTTTTAAGTTGAAAGAGTGGGGTGGGGGAGCTACATTATGTTAACATACTGTATAGCCAAATGATTATCACAGCATGCTTCATTGTTTTTTGTTTTTTTGTCTTTTTTTTTTAAAGGAGAGAAGGCAAAACTTGTAGGTAAAGATTTAGTTAGGTTTGTAGATGTAGCAGTGGGAACTTACAGCAACTTCTTTCTGTTCTTATTTTATCAGGAAGCAAGATCATCAGCTATGAGTGAATAGAGTTAGAAATTTAGAAATTTGAAGCTAGAGAATAAGGTATGAAGAAAACATTTAGGTAGATTGAAGAAGGAATGGACCAGGGAAATGCAATAGGATTATTTGGCAGCACTGAGAGTTTGTGTAAGCCTAGGAGTCATGCATTTAAAGTGACAGCAGTCACTTAGTAATGATGGCTACCATTTACTGAACATCCACCATTTGCTCCATCTTATAATTTGCAGTACTCAGTTTCATGGCTGAGGTGCAGAATGGGCAGAAGGTTTAATTTAATCAACACTGGGTTTTTACCACATAAGTCGAGGAAGGAAAATTTTGACAGGAGTTGAAAATTGATATATTTGACATCGTATGCTCAGGGCCCAGCCCATTTTCTGGCAAAATGGCAGCTTTGTTGGATGAATTAGTGAAAAATAGCAGCCTAATTAGCAGTAAATAAGCTACTGAGTGTCCATTATATACTTAGCAATGCTAATTACCTGACATAAATACATTGTTAAATAATAACCAGTATCTATAGAGCATTTACTATGTGCAAGACATTGACTAAGTATGTTACAAGTATCACCTCTTAATATTCACACATACACACAAAAGACAAAAAAAAAAGGAAAGAAGAGAAAAAAAAGAAACCTAGAAGTGGCTTCTCATTTTACAGATGAGGGAACCTAGGCTTAAAGAGATATTTCCTAGGTCACATAACTGGTAAATGGAGATGAGGAATTTATACCCAGAAAATCTGACACCAGAGTTTATGATCATAACCACAGCAGTAGAATGCTTCTCTGATGTAGCAAATGGTGGATGTTCAGTAAATGGTAGCCACCATTACTAACAATAATAGTTCATCATCATATGGCTGTAATTTAGATATTATGTATTCATACCTATACTGTCAACAAATATTTTGTTTGTTTCTTTCAATAGGTCACGCATTGTGCTAGGCACTAATGATCACTGGCGATTGAGATGGCGTCTCTGCTTCTGAAGTGAACTTCTTTGCTTCTTCATGTACATGTGTGACTTTCAGGATAGCAGGCTGCATTATGCCCAGTGCATACGTATTAGGTTCCATAACTATGTTTTGAATTGACTATATTAAAATTTACTTCCTAAAAGCAGTATGATCCATAATTTGGGGTCTGTGAATGGGACTTTATTTTCCCCTGAAGCCAGTTACTAACTGTATGCTTCCGATCTGCGTAATAACTTCGTATAGCATACATTATAAATTGAGACAGGTCACTTAACTTCCATTTGTGCATCTTAATTTCATCACTTGTAACACTGTTGCCCTAACTAACACAGGATTGTTGAAAAGATTAAATGAGATAATACATGGGAAAATATACTTGATAAATTATCATTTGAAACTAATGTTAATTATTACTTTAAACCTTGCAAAAAGCTTACACAAATACATTGAGTATATTAACTTCCTTATCCTTAATGTAGTTGAGGATTTTAAGGTGAGGGATTTATTTTGGAAGGGCAGTATCTTATCACTGTCATTACTGCTACATTTTTATTAAAGATCCCCATGGTGCATGTCATTGCAAGGAAGTATGTCACTAATAACATGTTTTAGAAAATTTAAATAATAATTCCACAAAGCTAGACCCCTTCTCTATACCCTGGCTATCACATATACTAGTATATTGTTAGACTTTCATTAGCAAATGGAGGCTTTTTGTTTTAAAAATAAAGATTCTGCACTTACTCTTAATTTGCATGGCAGTGAGATCAATTCTTATTTTGCTGAAAACAGTATATCCAGCAGCTAGGTAGTCATTTTTACATTCACAGTCTTGCCTCCTACTTCCATTAAAAGGACAGTCATTTGGATTTTGCAGTCTGTAAAAACATCAAAATATTTTTAGTATTAGATACAGTTATTAGACCATAATATAGTTAAAGGGTAAACTTTGGAATTGAGAAGGCAAAAGACACATTCCTGCTCTCAATATTATGGTGTCAATAAGGTAAAAGAAAAAGAAGTAAAAATCAGTCAAAGCTAACATTCAAAATTCTCAACGAGAAATTCACGAATGGTTTGTAGAAAAATAATTCGCTATAATTCTCGTAGCTTTCAATACTGGAATTAATTTGATTTCTATAAAAATACACATTGGTCTTAAATCCTTCCCTTTTCTGCTGTCCCACCATTCACCCACAGGATTCCTAGTCAATCTCTCTGTGAGCACATGTTAACACTCAAGTCTTTAATATTGAACAGGCATCAACATCTGGCTTAGGTCTTAATATGTTCACCTGCTCCTCAATTACTTGTCTCACATTGAAGGTATTCAAGTATCAGTCTGAAGGCTGGAACTTCTAATTCTCTTGAAGGACCGTAAAAATGTACAGATAGGCCAAAACACAGCTCATACCTAAGGCCATACACTTCAGAAAAGTTGTCCTCTTCACCTTTGACCAGTGGCAAATATTCCTTGGGGTTCTCCAAGTGCATGTCTACACAATGGATCTAAAGGAAAAATGCGAATATCTAGAAAAGCTTTTTCCAAAGTCAATGTCAATGTTAAAATCAAATAGGAACTGATTTGTAATACCTTTATTATTCTTCCCTTAATGTTAAGGTAATAGTTACCATCCTTGGTAATGTTGTTTTTCACTTGGATTTCTTTGCAGGAGGCAAATGATTTACCTTCAAGGACAAGTTAACACATCTTATCAACAATGAGCAAATTACAACCACAGCATGAACTTAATCATACAAATATTGCTATACTCTGAAAACCTGACACTTCATTTTAGTGGAGTGCATAACTGCTGCAAGTATTTATTTTCACATTTTAGCTAAAACTTCTTAGGAACACTTAGGTACTGTGTAGATTTTTGAAGCCTATTACTTACAGTCTTTGGCATAACATTTCTTTTGAGCACTTGGTTTTAAAACCTTTAAACATAAGCCACTGGTCAAACCATTTTCAGCCATGCATTCCACTCTTCTTTTCACTATCCCGACTTACAGTCTTTGGCATAACATTTCTTTTGAGCACTTGGTTTTAAAACCTTTAAACATAAGTCACTGGTCAAACCATTTTCAGCCATGCATTCCACTCTTCTTTTCACTATCCCAATTCCACAAGTCACTGAGCACTGTGAACAGAGTAAAATTTGAAGGTAAATTTATCATGAATAATAAGGCCAGTAAATCCATGCTTCCTCCTCTCAGATGAAGTCCTTTTGGAACAAACTGAGGGTCAAGAGTAGCTAGAACTACTGAAGATGCAAAAATTTGCAAAAATATGCCAGAGGCTAGACAGGCACAAGCAGGAAAAATCCTTAGACATGAGCCTGAATCTGTTATTTCTCAGTTGCTTGCTTTCTTTCATTTATTTTGTGCAGTTATATCAACAGTACATTGTAAATACTTAATAAATATTAATCAATTAAGACTTCTGACATTTTTTCTCATTAAGTTATACTCTAAGTTTGCACAGTAATATTTAATTGCCTTCCATCAAAGTGGGAATCAAATATAGCACAAATAACTTTTACTGCTTGTATGTTAGATTTACTTATTCACTTAAGCAATAAATATTTCTTAATATATTCTACTCAATATATTCTTAATATTTCTACTTAAAGTGCAAACCACCATGCAAGGTTCTCTGAGGAACAGAAATAAGTATTAGTTATGGTCTCTGCTTATAAGTAAGTGATAACGAGCATAGAAAGAAAGATAAGATATTTATACAAATAACTGATAAAGTAGTTGTTAGACAACAGGGGTGTGAGATGCTCTGAGGATCTAGTTAGACATGCAGATTATCAGGCAGGCATGCTACACCTACAAAGTCTTATTTAGAAGGTTTTAAATTCATAATTATTCACTGACCTTGCTCCATTTTCCAACTTTCCAAGTGGCCATGTGCAAACAACTCTTCACATTGCATTTGTAAACTTGAGAATAAGGTAGCACAGGGCATTCTTGATATTCTACAGGCTGAAGCTGATGGAGCTTATGTTTCTTAGCCGACCGGATCCCTATGCAATATGTAATCCTCTGTTGGTAACTAAATCCACAGTTATATGCACACTGAAAAATACAATTACAAGGAGAGAAGATGTTCTTAAATTAGCCAGAGCCTAATATTTGTCAGATGCTTAATATATATTATGCTTTGTCATCTCCACATCAATCCCATTTAATTAGCCTCATTTACAGACGAGTAAACAAAAAAGCTCAAAGACATTAGGCAACTTATCCAGAGTTGTACCAATAAATGGAAAGGACCCAGATTCAGGCTAGATTTTCTGTCCGTAGTGCCTGTGTTTTTATCCATTTCATTACTAGGAATATCATAAGTGAATGAAACTGTATCTCCCAATAGGCACAACTTCAGACAAATGAAACGTGTTAGGGATTCTTACCTGAAATAAAGGACATTTATAGGACTTACCTGTAACTATGTATAAATTATCATACATTTTTCTTAATACAGATATGTGAAGTCTAATACCACTTGACTAAAATAGGTGTGTGATTTAGATATAAATTAAAGCCTCAAGTCGAAAACAGGCAAATAGATTTCTGCTACCAGCAAAAATGGAATAACAAGGAATAGATTTACCTTCTAACTGAAAACCAAAAACACCTGGACAAAATATATAAAACAATAGCTTTTAAGATACTCAACATGAGGCAATAAATAACAGTGATCCCTAGCAGATGGGAAACAAGCAGACTGACCCTATAATTGCCCCAGCCTACTGCGTTGAAAGAATTTCCAGGTCTTGACACACAGAAAAGGAGACATCAGAGTTCTGACCAGTGCATACATACATGTGAGGACACCAACTGAGGCCAGGGAATAACCAGCCAACAGGCTTAGAGGTTACTGTATCTGGCACTCACAGAGGGTCAAGTATAGTGTCTATGGGGCAATCGGTAGAGTACTCAAAAGGTTCTTGCCACAATGGAGAGGAATAATTAACCCTAGATTAAACAATGCACTGGTCTTGCCTAACAAATATTAAGAGCAAGACAAGGGATGATGAAACTGCTCCTAGACAAAATAACTGCATCCCAGAACAAAGCTCAAAATATATGTATAGAAACAACAACAAAAAAAAAACCAGTAACCAAAAAGCTAAAATTCATAATGTCTTGCATGCAATAAAAAATTTATAGACATGCAAAGGAGCAGGAAAATCATACCAAAATGAAGAGAAAAACCCATCAATCAAAACATACCCACAAGGGTGACATCAGTGAAAATGGCAGAGCGAGAACATCAAATTCTCGCTTCCATAAGAGCAATGAGAAAACTGGCAAAAGTTTGTCAGATCAACTTTTTCAGAATTCTGTAAATTAACCATACTTACAGCAATCCAAATGGCATTTATTCAAGAAAAATGGCTAGGGTTTGCAGTATTTCAACTGGCTATACTCCCATTCTCTCCTTTCCAGCTCTGTGGTAGCCTTGAAAATCAATAGTCATGAAATCACGGTGAAAACCAGCAGCCTGGCAGCCACCAAAGGGGGCAGAACAGACTTGGACATCCTTCAAAGACTCATTCACAAAGAATTGTCATTATTCAAACTGTTTAGAAGTTTTTTGTAAGACCCTATTTACAGGCTGTCTTTATTTAACCTGACTTGCCCAGTGCTAAAAGCCTGGAAGCATTTTTTGTAAACAATTTTAGAAGCCATTGTTTAACTTTGCAGCTTCCAGAGGTAGCGAATAATAGTTGAGGCATCAATAGGCTAGCCAAAAAGCTTAAAAAGAAAATCTGGGGAAAAAGATGTCCATAGGGGCTTTGAAAAGCTCCAGCACATTCATAGGAATCTAGAAGGCCAGGTATATGCATAAGGTTGTGCACAAGTCCAGGGTTGTCTGCATTTTCAAGAAGCACCTGAGGAGGGTTCTTACAGAGATTTTGACAGGCTGGTCCTAAAATTCATATGGTGATATAAGGGACTCAGAATAGCAAAACAGTCTTGAAAAGGAAGAACAAAGTTGGTTCACTCATACATTGTGACTTCAGAACTTACCATAAAACAATAATAGTCAAGACTATATGGTAATGACATGAGGACAGGCACACAGATCAAAGGAATAGTACTGAGACTTCAGAAATAAACCAATACAGGGCTGGCCCGGTGGCGCACTACTATAGTGCGCCACTTGGGAAGCACGGTGGCGCTCCCGCCGAGGGTTCGGATCCCACATACAGACCGGCCGCTCACTGGCTGAGCGAGGGGCGGGAGCAACACCGAGGGTTGCAATCCCGTGGCCGGTCCCGGTCCGGTACGGGCGCGACACTGAGGGTTGCGATCCGTTGCCGGTCACGAAAAAAGACAAAAAGGAAAAAAAAAAAAAAGAAATAAACCAATACATTTATAGACAATTGATTTTTGTAAAGGACGCCAAGATAATTCATTGGGGAAAGAATAATCTTTTCCACAAATTGTGCTGGGACAACTGAATAACCGCATGCAAAAAGATGGATTTAGATCCCTATGTCACATTGTATACAAAAATTAACTAAAATGTATCAAAGGCCTAAGTATATGAGCTAAAATGATAAAAGTCTTAGAAAAAAAATGGGTCTAAATCTTTGCAACCATGGATTAGGCAATAGTTTCTTAGATATACTTAAGGCACAAAGAACTGAAAAAAAGGGAGAGATAAATTTGACTTAATCAAAATTAAAAACATTTGTGTGTCAAAGGACACTATCAAGAAAAGATAACCCACAGAACAGGAGGAAATATTTGGAAATTATGTAACTGATAAAAATCAAATCCAGAATATATTTTAAAAACTTTATAATTCAATAGTAAAAAAACAAATCACCCAATAAAAATAGGTAAAAGATTTGAATAGACATTTCTTCAAATAAGAGTAGCTAAAGAGCACTTAAAACACGCTCAGCATCATTAGTCATTAGAGAAATGCAGTTCCAACACATACTGAGATATCATTTCATACACACTAGGATGACTATATTAAAAAATGGACTATAGCAAGTGCTGATGTCAACATGGAGAAATACAAACATTCAAACATTGCTGATACAAATGAAAAATGGTGTAGCTACTGCAGAAAACAGTTTGGTAGTTCCTGAAAAAATTAAACATAGAGTTATCAAAATACCCAGGAATTCCACTCTTATGTACATGCTCAAGAGAATTGAAAATATGTATCCACACAAAAACTTGTACCAAAATGTTCCTCGCATTATTCATAATAGCCAAAAAGTGGAATCAACCCAAATGTCCATCAACTGATGAATGGATGAAACAAAATGTAGTATATCCCTACAACGGAATATTATTCAGCCATAAAAAGCAATGAAATACTGACGTATGCTACAACACGGATGAACCTAAAAAATATATGCTAAGTGAAAAAAGCCAGACATAAAAGACCACTTATTGCATGATTCCATTTACACTAAATGTCCAGAGCACAAAATCTGTAGAAAGAAAAAATAAACTAGTGGTTGACTAGGGCTAGGGGGAAGTGGGAGAATAAGCAGTGACTACTAATGGGTATGAAGTTTCTTTTGAGGGTGATAAATGTTCTGAAATTAGATCATGGTGATGGTTACACAAACTTGTGAATATTCTAAAATTCTCTAAATTGTAAACACACACAGATGTTAGAATTAGCAGAAAAGAACATTAAAAAGTTATTAATAACTGTATTTCATATGTTAAAAAAGTTAAGACATGAAAGATACTAAAAAGCTTAAATCAGACTTAAAAAGATGAAGATAATGTCTGTGATGAAAAATGGGGGATTAAAGGCAGATCAGATAACAGAAGAAAAGATTAGTGATCTTGAAGACATTCCTGTACTGGAATACATTAAAAAATAACAAGGAATAAATTATTGATACATATTACAACCAGCTTAAAATTCAAAATACTTACGTTATATCACACACAAAAAAGTACACTATATGATTCAATGTATATAAAACTCTAGAAAATGCAAACTAATACAATATCATATCACCTGTAAGGTGGGGAGGGAGAGGAGAGGGATGAAGGAGTATAAAGTAGCCCAAGGAGACTTTCAGGGATGAAGCTTGTTATTTTGAATATAGTACTAGTTTTCTATGTTAAAATTTATTAAGCTATACACTAAGTATACACAATTTATGAGCTGACCCCATGGTGCACTCGGGAGAGTGCAGGGCTGGGAGCGCAGCGACGCTCCCGCTGCGGGTTCGGATCCTATATAGGAATGGCCGGTGTGCTCACTGGCTGAGCGCGGTGCGGGCGACACCACACCAAGGGTTGCAATCCCCTTACCGGTCACGAAAAAGACGCACACACACACACACAAAAAAAGGCGACACCACACCAAGGGTTGCAATCCCCTTACCGGTCACGAAAAAGACGCACACACACACAAAAAAAAACACGAAAAAGACGCACACACACACACACAAAAAAAGTATATGCAATTTATGGCTTGTCCATTATACCTCAAAAAGCTGTTTTAAAAAGTGGGCAACTATGGGCCAGTTTGCCAAACTGTTCCTGGTCTTGGTTTCACAGCTGACACCAATTGACACTTCAGACTTGTACTAAAGTGTAACATACATGTTACTATTAACCTACCTGCACCATCCAACTGTCAGTAGTTTCATTCCTTAGACTGATATGCATAACCATCATCTGCCCCCATATTCAAATTTTGGACCCAGTTTCAGCTGAGTCAAATTTTAGATCTAGATGTTTTATCCAGGGGCAAAAATTCTCAGTTCCTTTCTTTGCCTTACCTGTGATGAGTCTCCTGTTACCACAATATACTTGCAGGGAGAGTTTCTGCATTTTTTTATTGAAGGAGGTCTGGTTGAAGGATCACAGAAATTTTCATTCACTTGAATGTTCTGTGCATTAATGCACTTGACTAGTCGATGTGTCTCTTTTTTCTCACATGATGTTGAACACTAGAAATGCAGTGACAAAATGAATAAAACATTTTGATATGCAGTGTCTTTGAAAGTTTACTTGTCAATACTCACATCCAACCACTTTCCTGCCATCCACTGGTACTGCAAGCAATCCTGATGCCAACATTGCCTCTGAAAATAAGGCCGGGTGGATTGATCACACATTTCTTCAGCCACACGACCAATGCCTCTCAGTATGCAGTATACAACCCTTTGCTGAACTCCAGAGCCACAGGTCACAGAGCACTACAAAGTAGCCCAAATGATTTGAACGATTAGCTAACAAATATCAAATCATATAAAAACAGCAAAGTAGAGTCATACATATTTTACTTATTTTAAATATAGCCTGATATTAAATCATTCATTAGATAGAAAATACTGCAATAAGTATTTTTACCTTATCTGGTCTGGAGCTTCTCACATATGAACAGATTTTTCTCTATTTTGCCTGATATTAAATCATTCATTAGATAGAAAATACTGCAATAAGTATTTTTACCTTATCTGGTGTGGAGCTTCTCACATATGAACAGATTTTTCTCTATTTTTCATAATGTACTTCAAGCCTTATAGAAACTGTGACAAGTGAATTATGTTACACTAGATTGCATCCCAATTGATAACTCTTCTGACTTACATGTACTTAATGTCTATACAAATTATCACACAGCTAATCATAAGTTATTCTACTACATGCTATTAAATGCCATTTGAATAACTTCCAAGATTGTGTTATATTCATGTTTTTACCTGCAGTGCCTCCTATGGTTTGTACCTGTTAGGGATCCAAATATTTGCTAACTTGTTGATTCATGATTATATTTCAGTGGACAGGAGTTTGGGGAAGATGGATGTGTAAATTGTAAACACAGACAACCTTGTCTTGAACTCTCTAGTCCTCATTTTTCCTACGTGTACAATGAAAATTTTGTATTGTTGGTAAAATTTCACAGAACGCTTCCAATACATTTTATTCCTGACAACGTCTCTGTAAAGGAGGTACCAGGGCTGAGGACACTGAAACTCAGAGAGGTCGAGTTACTTGCTTGACATGTTGCCTCTAGTTAGTGGTTGTCAGTCTGTTTAGCTTCTATAACAAAATACCATAAATCAGGTGGCTTAAACAATAGAAATCTACTTCTCCCAGTTCTGGATGCTGGGAATTCCAAAATCAAGGTACTGGCAGATTCAGTGTCTGGTGAGGGCCCACTTTTGGTTCACAGAGGGCACCTGCTCACTGTGTCCTCACATGGTAGAAGGGACAAGCTAGCTCTCTGAGGGTTCTTTCATAAGAGTACTAATCCCACATATGAGGGCAGAGCTCTCATGACCTAATCACCTCCTAAAGGCTTCACCTCCTAATACCATCACCTTGGGGGTTAGGATTTCAACACATAACATTTTGGAGGTGCACAAATATTCCTACCATAGCACTTTGCTCCCAGCCCCCCAAATCCCTGTCCTTCTCACATGCAAAATATATTCATTCCATCCCAGTAGCTCCAAAATTCTTAACTTATTCCAGCATCAACTCAAAAGTCAAAAGTCCAGAGTCTCATCTAAATATCATTTAAATCAGATATGGGTGAGACACACTGTATGATTCATTGCTGAGGTAAATTTCCTTCCAGCTGTGAGCCTGTGAAATCAAACAAGTTTTGTGCTTTCGAAATACAATAAGACAGACATGAGAGAGCCATTTCTATTCCAAAAGGGAGAAATAGAAAAGAAGAAAGAGGTAATAGATCTTAAGTCCAAAACCCAACAGGGCAAACAACATTAAATCTTAAGACTTGAGAATAATCTTTGACTCAATGTCCCATCTTCTGGACACACTAGGGCAGGAATTGGACCCCTCTTAGAAGCCCTGCCCCCATGGCTTTTCTGGGTGCAGCCCATGCCACAGTTTTCATGTGTTGGAGCTGGGTGCCTATGGCTCTTTTAGGCTGGAATAGCATGCCAATGGCTCTAGTAGTCTGGGATCACATGGGCAGCTCTGCTCCCATTGCCACACTAGGCATTGCCTTACTGGGGACTCTCTGCAGTGGCACCATCTTCACAATGGTTCTCTCCCTGGGTCACATGCCCAAGGATCTGGGCAACTCCATCCTTTAAAATCTAGGTAGACAAAGCCACACCATCATGGCTTGTTCATTCATCATGCCAGCAGAAATGGCAGTACATGGATGCTGCCAAAGTTTACCACCTGTACACTCTGAAGGGGTGACCACCACAGACCACACTGCACCTGGGCCCACTGGAGCCACACCTGCAGTGGCTAAGGAGCACTGCACCAGAATGTGCAAAGTAGAGCCTATAATGTGAGGTGGCACCAGGTAGCTGTGGCCCTGTTCTGCCCCTCCAGGCCTTTGCAATCTTTGCCTATGATGGGAGGAGCAGCCCCAATGATCTCTGAAATGCTCTTGCAGGTCATTCTTCCATCATCTTGAACAATAAGTCATAGCTTCTGTTTAGATGGCTGTTTGATCTCCCCATGGTCCTGATGAATAGCACACAGCTTTGATTGAGATGGCTGCTCCAAACTAATCTTCCTATCAAATTTGGCCACACCCTTTTTTTTCTCTCTTGAACAAATTTCTCATTTTTTCATATATGGATGGGCTGAGAATTTTCCGAATTTTTAAGTTCTTCTTCCCCTTTGATGAACAATTCCACCTTTAAGTCATTTCCCTCTTCATGCATTTTACTATAAGCAGTCAAGAGAAGACAAACTTCACCTTCAACACTTTGCTTAGAAATTTCCTCAGCAAATATACAACTTCATCGCTTACAAATTTTACGTTTTATAAAACACTGGAACTTGAACACAATTTAGTCAGGTTCTTTGCCATTTTGTAACAAAGATGGCCTTTCCTATATTGTCAAGTAACATGTTCCTGATTTCTGCCTTAGTAATCATCAGAATGACCTTTACTGTCCATATTTCTATGAACATTGTTTGCAAACACTTAGGTATTCTATAAGATTCAAGCACTCTCTGCAGCTTTTCTCTTTTCTTTCTGGGCCCTCACCATAATTGGCCTTAACAATCCATTCATAGCAATGTAGGCTTTTCATAGAATGCACTTCAAAACTCTTCCAGCCTCTACCCTTTATCAAGTTACAAACCTACTTTCACAGTTTAGGTATTTGTTATAGCAGCATCCCACTATCAGTACCAATTTTCTATCTTAGTTTGTTCAGGCTATTACAACAAATTACCATATACTGGGTGACTTATAAAAAATAGAAATTTATTTTTCACAGTTCTAGAGGCTGGCAAATCCAAGATCAAGGTACTGGCAGCTTTAGTGTCTGGTGAAGCCCACTTTCTAGTTCATAGAGGGCACCTTCCCACTGTGTCCTCACATGCTGGAAGGGGCAAGATAGCTCTCTGGGCCTCTACTATAAGGGAACTAATTCCAAACGTGAGGGCTCAACCTTCATAACCTAATCACCTCCCAAAGTCCTCATGTCCTAATATCATAACCTTAGGGGTTAGGATGTCAACACATAAATGTTGTCATGAAGCAGACATTTCCTGACCTGTGACTTGCACAAGCTGCTTAACCTCTCTAAGCTGTTGTTTCTTCATCCACATAATGAATGTAATAACACCTCCAGTTGCAAGGAATAAAGAAATCTCATGCCGTGTCAGGAAGTGACTGTCCCTTGCTGCTCCCTTCCCCTTTCCCCATTTGTTTACTTTTTTACAGAGATACAATTACTTGCATCTACTTCCATCTCTAACAGTTTATTGACACATGCCTCAAATCAGAGTGTCAGTCACCTCAACTTACTCAAGGAAAGGCCATCTTAAATATCAGGAAAGATGATAAAGGAAGAGGGTTAACAGGCAGGATTGAAATGCAAAAGCAATTTCACCAGCTAGAAAACACTAAGAAGCATAGTTCATTCAGCCTCCTGGCCCTGAGCTCCCCCCACCCCCACCTCACCCTAGCCCCTTCATTGGTAGAAACATCACTGAATACCCTGGGTATAGAGATAATTAGATTCGGGGTTCTTGGTTGGAAGCTTTAGGGACTTAAAAACTTAAGATTTACCATTTTTTAAATGATAAAATATATAAAGGTACTTCAAAAAGTTCATGGAACAATTCATATTATCTTTTAATTCTATGTTTCCTCAAATTTTTTGAAGTACCCTTGTATATGTATATGTCAGAAATTTTGGAAAATATGGAAATATAAATGTATATATTTATGTATTCTGGAAATATAGAAAATATGGAAAACAGAAAGACAAAATTACTTACACATCTGATATTTAGCATATTGTTTTAGGTTTTTTTTCAAATAAGGGGCTTTGGGTGGGGGTCACTGGACAGTAGATTTGTGGAATTTTGTGACTTGTATAACCTCTGGATCCAGTTCTGATCTTAAAATGCAAAAGGAAAGTGATGGGTCTCAGAGAAGGGGAACCAGGCACGCAGCTGATTTCACCTGGCTCTATACTGAATATTGCTGAATGCGATTATTTAGGTATCTTTCTAAGTTGTCCAGCAGGTTTGGCATGATCAAGGAAAGGTGAGAATTAAGGACAATTTTTTTTTCCTGAGTATAAAACTGTGCATATGGAGGCATTTAACTAAGTAGATGGAGCCTGAGACAATGAGGAATCTAGTAGGACTGTTCTAGTCTTAAAAACTTGAACTTACAAGTGACGCTGGTATTCCCAAATAGATAAAGTTAAATTAAAAAAAAAAAAACAAAAACCCTTGCTTCCAGGAAGTGGGGGTAGGGGGATACATTTTTCTTTTTAAATGATTCAAGTATTTAATTTGCCTCTAAAGATATACATCTGGACACAAAGAACAAATAGCCCTGTATAGCAATGTTTGTTTCTGTTTAGCAGGAGTCATTAAAATGCATTACTAAATCCTCTCATTAAAAAAAGAAAAAAAGATATCAAATACCAAATGAAGAGTGTGCTTTCAAAACTCATTTGAGCACCTCCATTGTCACAATTTACCAAATGAGTCTTTCCATCTGAGGCATCATGCAAAATAGTAATAAAATGAAATTATTTTAAGAGTGAGCGATTATATGAAAGCAATGGTACAATTTATGCAATCAGAATAAAACAGCAACCAGTGATTATCTTGTAACTACCTCTGAAATTACGCTTCTGTTAAATACGTTATTATATGTAGTGCAGTGACAGCCTGCAATTGTTAACTTCATGTGAGTGCTTTTTATAGAATAAATCAAAAGCCAATGACTTCACAAGTGGTCATTTGTTTCTGGCAGAGATTTGAGGACTGTGTGGGTGAATGAAGTTAATTTCTATGACAAGGAAAACCAACTCAAAGAGAAGAAAGCTGACTCTGTACAAAGGCATCTGTGTTTTTTAGAGTCCTTGAATATTCATATCCTTATCTCCCAAACTCTTGAAATACGTTCCTCTAGTGGATCTTACATAATTTCATAGCTAGTGGTAAGCCAAGGCCAATCTGTTAGCACTGATGATGGACTCACTGTTGTGGGGCTGGAGGTCAAGGGTCAGGAATTGTCCCTTATGAATACCAACTACAGCAGCTGCAGCAGCTGCACAGCAGCCAAAGACAACTCTTTGGGATCAACAGAATATTGGTGGCTAGGAAGTGAAAAAACGTCTCTCCCACTCCCACCTCTTGTGGCTCCTGCCTGATGTCAGAATTGGGAGTTATCTGTTGCACACTGGGCAGATCTGTGACTTCTTGTGTTCAGTGCCTTTTTGGTGTTTCATCCTCTTGGCAAAAGACACATTGCCGTTATTCTGCCACATCTTGGTGGAGATAAAGTAAGGCAAACCCCCACTTTAAGCGAAATGACAATATGATGAGTGTGAATTAAAAGATGGTCATCTTTTGCATTTAAATCACAGTATTCAAAGTAAGAAGCATTTAGCCAGATACAAAGCTAGGTACTTAGTGAACAAGATACCCATCATCTCTAAGAGAGAAAAAGAAAGAACATTGAAGAAACAAGCATGGGTTAGGTTTTAGTCTTACCTCCTAAAGACAATAGTAAGTCATAGAAGAGATTAAGTGACATAATCATCTTTTAGTTCTTCTAGAGCTTACTCTATATAAAAGTGAAAAATGGCCAAAATATATGAAGGATGGCCACCTTAGGCCTAGGAATGGATGAGGATGAACTATTGAACTAGACCAGGGCAGGTGCAGTGGGGATTCAAGAGCTACTTTGATAGGAAAATTGAGAGAAGCTGTTGAGTGACAACTGTGGAGGCAAGGGAGAAGGAAACAGGAGGAATCCAGGGTTTCTTTCTTGAGCAACTTAGTAGGTAGTAGTGACATTTACTAAAACAAAACAGGTTAATGGAGAGATCTCTGCTAAAGCATGAAACATAATTTATTCACATAACCAAAATTTAATGTAGAAGCAAATGCTCAAAGATACATCACTAAAACAAAACAGGTTAATGGAGAGATCTCTGCTAAAGCATGAAACATAATTTATTCACACAACCAAAATTTAATGTAGAAGCAAATGCTCAAAGATACATCTTTTTTGTGGGATGAGAGACAGAGATATATTAGCCTGTAGTTTTCAGTAAAATATTACACAAGTACCAGTACATGGACACTTGACAGAAGCTGCTCTTCTACAAAGAAATTTGAGATTTCACTCAATTTGGGAGGATTTTATTGAATATCATTGATGTGCTGACCTAGTGCCACTTAAAAGCCAAGTGCCCTGCACCAAGGCACTGAACTCAAAGAGTGAATGATGAAGACTTAGGAGCTTAGGGGAACCCCACTTCCTCTAGCTCCCCAGTAGACATAACTCCAGCATCTGACAGAGATAGGAAGTTGCATGAGCAGACATAGGTTTCTTCTTCCCTTTGCAGGACTAGGCCCTTGAAGAAATGGGTAAGTACTCTGAGCTAGTGCTGAGAGCAGCCGATGACTTCATTGAAAGCTGAGCCCCATTGAAATCAGTTCTTGGGAAATTATTCCAGCTAATATTTCTGATTTCATTCATGGCTTTTGCCTCTTCAATATTTTCCAAGCTGGCGTTAGTATGACATCCACTTTCAAATATATGCCTGCCCCAACGTAGATTTCAAGTTCTCTTCTCTGAGTATGCCAGGGCAGGTATCAATCATCCTTCTTTTACAAACTAAATTCTCAGCCTCGGTATTTGTTTATCAGCTTTATTTTTGCTGAGTCTTTCCCTCTAGCCCTAGCCCAGCCTCTTATACCTAGCAATGATACCTTGCTAACTCTTGGCCTCCGATTACAACCCTATCTAGAATTTATGAGTCTCTTCTCTAGGGTGCTACATTAGC